AGTGTCTTGTCTTGTTCCTCTTTACCTTGTGTGCTCGTTGGCGAGCGGATTTTACTAATCTTAGTAAATTGAGGTAGGTGTCTGCCTGATCGAGCTAAGTTCAGGCTGAGTGTACCCGTGTGAGAATTTCTAGCACGTTTAATGATTACTTGTCGCGCTCTCCCAGATCCACCCCAATCTTCCTTTGACGTCGCATTGCATAATTATGAATACTTCACCCCCTTTATTATTCTGGCCACTCGACCTCCTTGTCCTTCTGATCACTTGATCCGTCTGAGACCTTGCTTTACTTGCTTGCCGCGTCCAATCGAGGGCTACTTCGGATGAGTGTCTTCGTACCTAGCCAATCAATCTAAGGACAAAAATTAATAAAGCCGTAAAACAGTAAACCTTGAACGCAGGGTAAATAACTATGATATAGCCCGCAGGATTGCTGACGCGTGTTCTTTGTAAGAAAATAAATAATGTTCGTTATTAGTCCATAAGGAGCTAGAACTACGCTGACGCTTCTCTATATTTTAGTTTTCTATCACGTCATCTATAAAATGCCATATATTCCTTAGTTTCGAAGTAGCCCCACCATTAGCACTAGTATGATCACATGGTCATCAGTAGTCACCATTACCGATAATCATCAGTAGTGACCGTGACCAGTAATCATCAGTAGTGACCGTGAACGATTATAGCACTTTTTGGACAATTCACCTGCGAGCTTCTTACGATTTTGGATAATGTTTTTTGTAGGTGCAACACGCGAATAGCTCTTAAAGATGAACGTCCTCATTATGCTGAAAAGACGACAATTTGGCGCAGCAGCACATAGCGATATGGATCTGGATCTTCTCTTTATCGCTAGTTGAGGATGTTCATCTACAAGAAGCGATTCGCGTGCTGCGCCCAAACGAAAACATCGTCTTGAATTGTAAAAAGCTGCAGGTGAATTGTTTAACAAGTGCTACAATCGGTGCAAGGCAAACGTTGACATTCGCATGAAAAGCGCTCATTAATACCTGGTAAGAGATAGCTGATCGGACTTCTAAAACGACCCTATTGTCAACTTCGCCGCGACGTCACCTACAGTCTTCTTTTTCTCAAATCTTTATCTACTGTACAGCAAGGTCCCAGCACCGATTAGACCACGCAGGAAATCACATGCGTATTCGATATATATATGCTACTAACGACCCTGTTGGCTGAGGCTGACAATACTTCGGCAAAAAAAACGCCTGCTACACGCTTAGAAAGGCAATACCGTTGCAGTACTTCATAATTCGTTGTTCTTATGGACTCTATGTAACGAAGTAGCCGTTACATGATATTGACAACGAACTTTGTCAATAGAGATAATGTCTAGCATGAAAACATCCCACCAATTTTATCCAAGGTGGATAACATTTAGGCAATATTAACCCCTTTTGTATAATTTTTAAGCGCTGCTCCAAGATTGGTTGCTTTAAGAAATTTTGAGCACGATCACCACCAACCGCTGCAAGACGTGCGTATTGAGTGGTGAGCAGGCTGTCGTCATACGACAATGTGGATTAGTGAAGCTAGATGAAGACTGAAGTTATATCGATAGCTTAACTATATTAAATACAGTTCTCTTTTTACTTTCACTTGACCGAGTCGTTCAAGCAGATTATCTTTCTATGCACGTGCGAGTGTCCGTGAAGTTTCGTGGCACCCAGAAAAACGGTGCCCTGTCACACCTGGCAGCACTTGTAGTCCGTCCAACGACTACTTAGTGTCCGTCCAACATGAACATGTTGGACGTAGAAGACGCCAGCTTATACGTCACACGTGAAGGCTGCTCCCATTTGAGTGACTCAGAATGGGAGGTAGCCGGCCGCATGAGTGTGCTCATGGGTGAACCTGCCACCAGTAACATGTTGGAGTCTTGAAGCAAAGACCAGCAACATTCTGCTATCAAAAAGTTCCTACAAGGGTAAATTGCCGTCGCACGACAGAAGATAGCCTTGCTACAACAGCAAAGCTCTCATCAGTAGATGGGTGGGCCGACGCACACGCGTCGACCCGAAATATCAAAGACTGATATCTCAAGGTACAAGAAGACCGATGAAGATTCCTATTTAAGATGGTTCGTCAAGTTAGACGACGCCATCAGGGCCCGTCGCATCTAGGGTGACAGGATTCAAGTCACCTTTACCCTGTAAAATTTGACAGGACGAGCAAAGACTTGGGCCTTAGGGCTCGATCTCTGCGACCCAAACTTGTTTTAGTCGTCAGCGATCTTGAAGTTTCGGTTTAAAGAGACATTTGAGCCGCCGAGAGCCAAGTTCAGATCATACTCTGTACTCTTGAGGCTAAAGCAATGCAAGCGTGACGTGCACGCTTACGCACAGCACCTGCGCTACCTTGCGAGAAGCGTCACAAACACCCTGTTGATGAGCACACGCTCATCAGCGTGTTCATCTACGGCCTTGTGGATGGGCCGGTGAAGACCTCCGTGCTCCGAGAAGACTTCCATACGCTGGAAAGGGCGATTACGTATGCGAAACAAGAAGACTTCAGCCTGAGACAGGCTCAGGCTAACTCATCAAAATTTCGTCCGACGAGACAACAGGAAGCAGGAGGTCCCGAACCAATGGACGTCGGTTACAATGAGAGCGAAAACTCTCGCTCTTTGTGTCACAAGCGAACGACAAGATGCCATCTAGGTCAGAAGGTTAAACACTACACTTATTAGTCTGGTGTCCCAAGCACCGCATAACGTGGAAAGACAGGACGTGATGACCTCCTTTGGCCGAGGAAAGGTCCAAGATGCGGGTCCAACAATATCGCTGAACGGCGACAGCAATTCGTAATTACAAAAGCGGTCAGGGTCAGTAGGGGCAACCTGCTGATCCAGCAACTTCGAGAGAATTTGCAGGACTCGTGACGAAGATTGCTCTCCATAAACAGTCGCTGTGTGTTACTGCCTTTGGTGATGAGGTGTCTGTTATCACTTTGAAGATCGAAGTGAAAAGTGGAATGTCACTTCGCGCCCTAGTTGACTGTGGGGTGTCGAGAAGTTTTATTCTAAGCCAGTCGCTGGGGGATAGTAGTCTCAACTATGTTGAGCAAGAATTCCCTCTGACAAGGATGACGGTGTGCCTTGCCACAGGCGCATCCGTAACAGTGAGCAAACGTGTAGCGGGAATCCACTACACGCTAGAAGAGAAGCAGTACGATGATGACTTCATCGTATTAAATTCGGATGACAAATTTGCTGTCACCCTTGGTCTGCCATGGCATCGAAATTACCAGCCATGGATCAGCTGGCAGCATCGATCCGTGAAGATGCCTGCCTTCTGTCCATCAGATGGCCATCTGATGAACGTCTCCGAGCGTCCACAAGCGAGTAAATGTACTACGAGTGAGTGCGATGGCTTCACTTGTGGTACGGTCGTTAGTACGATTGCACAAGATCACAGTGTAGAAGGCCACTACACTGTGGAACCAGCTTTTTGGCACATGTGTAGAGACAAAGGCTGCGCCGAAGGTTCACTACTCGAAGAGATCGAGTGGACTGGAACACGGACGCACACCAAGAAGGGTGCATCAAAGAATAGAGATTATTGTTGTCCAAGATGATCAACACGTTAACGTGAGATCGACTATCCGAGAGTCGATCGTAGAGCAAGCCCGATCGACTTGAAGAGATTCGATCAGAGAGTACGTGACTGTGGTAGTGCAATCAAAGTCAGAACAAGTGATGAGAGGAAATTCCAGCGTTCCTGAGAGTGATGAATCCCGAGAGAGTTATGTTGAGGGTGTATTTCCACAACCACCTGCGGATGTGTTTACCAAGTAAATCACCAAGACAGTGAATGAATGTCTTGTGAATGACGGATCAAGTGTAGGCGCTTTAACACTTGATACGGTTATGCCCCCGAATTCAGCTTCGGAGTAGTCAAGTTACCAACGCTAGAATCTAAAAGATTCTTGCGAGATCTGTGTGGTGACAAGATCAAGCAGATCTGCGTACTTATCTCAGATAAAGATTACGTCGCCGATATTCGGTCGGCACAAGTGTTTGCTGAGACGTATAGGTTCTCAGTAGTTCATCGATGGACGAGAGCATTCTCGATGAGAAGACCCTGATTGAGCGGTACACGTCTTAATCTTACGAGTCTTTAAAGACAAAACCTTTGTATAAGGATTTGGTTGAATTTAGGGATGTTATCCCGGTTAATGTGCCATTCGAGCTGCCCAAGGCCGAAGACACTCGGCATGGTCCGAAATGAAACCCGGCTCAAAGTACTGTGTCGTAAAGCAGTGGCCACTGCCTCGTGAACAGGACACAGCGATCGACAAATTCTTTGCTGATCGCTTAGCGGCTGGTCACGTGAGGGAATCATCATCCTCACACAGCTCTCCGACCTTATGTGTGCAAAAGGCCACAAGAGGGTGGAGGATAGTGCACGCATTCAACAAACTGAACGCTGCAACGGCACCGGCCCAAACGCAGGTACTGAGGAAGGACGTTATCATTGATGGTATGGCAAAAAGTACCATCTTTTCGTCCATAAATCTGATGGATGGGTTCTATCAGATCCTCATGCGCGATCGGGACATTCCGTACACATCAGTGAGCACCCCCGGTGGTATGCTTTGCGAGGGGTTAGTGATGCCACAGGGACTAAGTAACGCCCCCGCAACGTTTAACAGATGTGTTACGAATCTGTTGCGATCGTTGCGCGATTTCGCACCGAGCTACTTCGACGATGGCTTCGTCCATAGCCGGGCGATGGATGGATAGAAGGACGTGGAGGTTCATAGAATCTACGTCCTGAAGGTTCTTACTCTAGGGCGAGAGCATAAATTGTTTGCGAACCTCAAGAAGTGCGTATTCGCAGCGATTGAAATACCACTTCGATGCTGCATCATGGGTAGAAACGACGTACGCATATCCAGAAAAGATCGAGGCGATTAGCGACTGGCATGTGCCAGTCGACGTCAATGCACTTCGAAATTTCCTTGGCTTGGCGGCGTCATGCTCACGTGTTACCACTGTCAACACACTAGTAACATACCGATCATGCATGCATAGACCGAATCACAACAACGGCCACAACAATACGTCGTTCTTGACATTGCTATCACGACATTCCAATCAGTGATGGCACAACCACAAACGCACAAACGCTTTTCACACACGCTACAAGAGCACAAAACAAATCGTCAGAATATTCGGATCCATTTCATATGTACCACTCAGTGCACTGGCATACAAATCATCAACTCGATTTTGGACACTGCTGAATGCGAGCTTGCCGCTTGCATCTGGAATGAATAATCATCCGATCTTGCAACCTAGCGACAATGATCTGTCTGTACAATTGCACCAAAGGTTGAGCTGCTCGTAACCGCCTCACCTGGCTGCAGCAACTCTTACGCGGCATATGTTCCATTCGAAAACACACGTCGGAATGCATCCAGACGGTAGTGCGCGCTCCGGGCTTGTAAAGCAAATAGATAGATGCGCCTCATCAGTCATGTACAGAGCCGAGTGGTTTCTGTTCGTCTTTACAATACTGTCAAGTACGACAGCCAGAAGAATCAAGACTTGACGCGTTGCAAATCAATCGATAGCACAGCTTTGATTGCAAATTGTCTACACATCGTCAGATAAGTACAACAAAACAGGGACTACCAACCGAAGATGTGCTGAAAAAGTGTTACTCAAGGTCAGCTGGTGACGCAGTTGAACTGCGAAGTGCACATTTGGGAATGTGCTGGTGCAGACTGGTTTTGTCATCGTAACATGATCACGCCGGAGATGCATGGCATCGATCCACGTGCCTTCCGTTCGAGAAGCGAGCGCTCGACAACCAGAGCCTCATGCTCACGTGTTACCACTGTCAACACACTATTAACATACCGATCATACATGCATAGACCGAATCACAACAACGGCCACAACAATACGTCATTCTTGACATTGCTATCACGACATTTCAATCAGTGATGGCACAACCACAAACGCACAAACTCTTTTTACATACGCTACAAGAGCACAAAACAACTCGTCAGAATGTTCGGATCCATTTCATATGCACCACTCAGTGCACTGGCATGCAAAATCATCAACTCGATTTTGGACAATGCTGAATGCGAGCTTGCCGCTTGCATCTGGGATGAAGAATCATCCGATCTTGCAACCTAGCGACAATGATCTGTCTGTACAATCGCATTAAAGGTTGAGCTGCTCGTAACCGCCTCACCTGGCTGCAGCAACTCTTACGCAGCATATGTTCCATTCGAAAACACACGTCGGAATGCATCCAGACGGTAGTGCGCGCTCCGGGATTGTAAAGCAAATAGATAGATGCGCCTCATCAGTCATGTACAGAGCCGAGTGGTTTCTGTTCATCTTTACAATACTGTCAAGTACGACAGCCAGAAGAATCAAGACTTGACGCGTTGCAAATCAATCGATAGCACAGCTTTGATTGCAAATTGTCTACACATCGTCAGATAAGTACAACAAAACAGGGACTACCAACCGAAGATGTGCTGAAAAAAGTGTTACTCAAGGTCAGCTGGTGACGCAGTTGAACTGCGAAGTGCACATTTGGGAATGTGCTGGTGCTGACTGGTTTTGTCATCGTAACATGATCACGCCGGAGATGCATGGCATCGATCCACGTGCCTCTCGTTCTAGAAGCGAGCGCTCGGCAACCAGAGCCTCATGCTCACGTGTTATCACTGTCAACACACTATTAACATACCGATCCTACATGCATAGACCGAATCACAACAACGGCCACAACAATACGTCGTTCTTGACATTGCTATCACGACATTCCAATCAGTGATGGCACAACCACAAACGCACAACGCTTTTTACATACGCTACAAGAGCACAAAACAACTCGTCAGAATGTTCGGATCCATTTCATATGCACCACTCAGTGCACTGGCATGCAAAATCATCAACTCGATTTTGGACACTGCTGAATGCGAGCTTGCCGCTTGCATCTGGGATGAATAATCATCCGATCTTGCAACCTAGCGACAATGATCTGTCTGTACAATCGCATTAAAGGTTGAGCTGCTCGTAACCGCCTCACCTGGATGCAGCAACTCTTACGCAGCATATGTTCCATTCGAAAACACACGTCGGAATGCATCCAGACGGTAGTGCGCGCTCCGGGCTTGTAAAGCAAATAGATAGATACGCCTCATCAGTCATGTACAGAGCCGAGTGGTTTCTGTTCGTCTTTACAATACTGTCAAGTAAGACAGCCAGAAGAATCAAGACTTGACGCGTCGCAAATCAATCGATAGAACAGTTTTGATTGCAAATTGTCTACACATCGTCAGATAAGTACAACAAAACAGGGACTAGCAATCGAAGATGTGCTGAAAAAAGTGTTACTCAAGGTCAGCTGGTGACGCAGTTGAACTGCGAAGTGCACATTTGGGAATGTGCTGGTGCTGACTGGTTTTGTCATCGTAACATGATCACGCCGGAGAGACATGGCATCGATCCACGTGCCTCTCGTTCTAGAAGCGAGCGCTCGGCAACCAGAGCCTCATGCTCACGTGTTACCACTGTCAACACACTATTAACATACCGATCCTGCATGCATAGACCGAATCACAACAACGGCCACAACAATACGTCGTTCTTAACATTGCTATCACGACATTCCAATCAGTGATGGCACAACCACAAACGCACAAACGCTTTTCACACACGCGACAAGAGCACAAAACAAATCGTCAGAAGACTCGGATCCATTTCATATGCACCACTCAGTGCACTGGCATGCAAATCATCAACTCGATATTGGACACTGCTGAATACGAGCTTGTCGCTTGCATCTGGGATGAAGAATCATCCGATCTTACAACCTAGCAACAATGATCTGTCTGTACAGTCGCATTAAAGGTTAAGCTGCTCGTAACCGCCTCACCTGGCTGCAGCAACTCTTACGCGGCATATGTTCCATTCGAAAACACACGTCGTAATGCATCTAGACGGTAGTGCGCGCTCCGGGCTTGTAAAGCAAATAGATAGATGCGCCTCATCAGTCATGTACAGAGCCGAGTGGTTTCTGTTCGTCTTTACAATACTGTCAAGTACGACAGCAAGAAGAATCAAGACTTGACGCGTTGCAAATCAATCGATAGCACAGCTTTGATTGCAAATTGTCTGCACATCGTCAGATAAGTACAACAAAACAGGGACTACCAACCGAAGATGTGCTGAAAAAGTGTTACTCAAGGTCAGCTGGTGACGCAGTTGAACTGCGAAGTGCACATTTGGGAATGTGCTGGTGCAGACTGGTTTTGTCATCGTAACATGATCACGCCGGAGAGACATGGCATCGATCCACGTGCCTCTCGTTCTAGAAGCGAGCGCTCGACAACCAGAGCCTCATGCTCACGTGTTACCACTGTCAACACACTATTAACATACCGATCATACATGCATAGACCGAATCACAACAACGGCCACAACAATACGTCATTCTTGACATTGCTATCACGACATTTCAATCAGTGATGGCACAACCACAAACGCACAAATTCTTTTTACATACGCTACAAGAGCACAAAACAACTCGTCAGAATGTTCGGATCCATTTCATATGCACCACTCAGTGCACTGGCATGCAAAATCATCAACTCGATTTTGGACACTGCTGAATGCGAGCTTGCCGCTTGCATCTGGGATGAAGAATCATCCGATCTTACAACCTAGCGACAATGATCTGTCTGTACAATCGCATTAAAGGTTGAGCTGCTCGTAACCGCCTCACCTGGCTGCAGCAACTCTTACGCAGCATATGTTCAATTCGAAAACACACGTCGGAATGCATCCAGACGGTAGTGCGCGCTCCGGGCTTGTAAAGCAAATAGATAGATGCGCCTCATCAGTCATGTACAGAGCCGAGTGGTTTCTGTTCATCTTTACAATACTGTTAAGTACGACAGCCAGAAGAATCAAGACTTGACGCGTTGCAAATCAATCGATAGCACAGCTTTGATTGCAAATTGTCTACACATCGTCAGATAAGTACAGCAAAACAGGGACTACCAACCGAAGATGTGCTGAAAAAAGTGTTACTCAAGGTCAGCTGGTGACGCAGTTGAACTGCGAAGTGCACATTTAGGAATGTGCTGGTGCTGACTGGTTTTGTCATCGTAACATGATCACGCCGGAGAGACATGGCATCGATCCACGTGCCTCCCGTTTGAGAAGCGAGCGCTCGACAGCCAGAGCCTCATGCTCACGTGTTACCACTGTCAACACACTATTAACATACCGATCCGGCATGCATAGACCGAATCACAACAACGGCCACAACAATACGTCGTTCTTGACTTTGCTATCACGACATTCCAATCAGTGATGGCACAACCACAAACGCACAAACGCTTTTCACACACGCTACAAGAGCACAAAACAACTCGTCAGAATATTCGGATCCATTTCATATGTACCACTCAGTGCACTGGCATGCAAAATCATCAACTCAATATTGGACACTGCTGAATACGAGCTTGCCACTAATATCTGGAATGAATAATCATCCGATCTTGCAACCTAGCGACAATGATCTGTCTGTACAATCGCACCAAAGGTTGAGCTGCTCGTAACCGCCTCACCTGGCTGCAGCAACTCTTACGCAGCATATGTTCGATTCGAAAACACACGTCGGAATGCATCCAGACGGTAGTGCGCGCTCCGGGCTTGTAAAGCAAATAGATAGATACGCCTCATCAGTCATGTACAGAGCCGAGTGGTTTCTGTTCTTCTTTACAATACTGTCAAGTAAGACAGCCAGAAGAATCAAGACTTGACGCGTCGCAAATCAATCGATAGCGCAGCTTTGATTGCAAATTGTCTACACATCGTCAGATAAGTACAACAAAACAGGGACTACCAACCGAAGATGTGCTGAAAAAAGTGTTACTCAAGGTCAGCTGGTGACGCAGTTGAACTGCGAAGTGCACATTTGGGAATGTGCTGGTGCTGACTGGTTTTGTCATCGTAACATGATCACGCCGGAGAGACATGGCATCGATTCACGTGCCTCCCGTTCGAGAAGCGAACGCTCGACAACCAGAGCCTCATGCTCACGTGTTACCACTGTCAACACACTATTAACATACCGATCATGCATGCATAGACCGAATCACAACAACGGCCACAACAATACGTCACTCTTGACATTGCTATCGCGACATTCCAATCAGTGATGGCACAACCACAAACGCACAAACGCTTTTCACACACGCTACAAGAGCACAAAACAACTCGTCAGAATATTCGGATCCATTTCATATGTACCACTCAGTGCACTGGCATGCAAAATCATCAACTCGATATTGGACACTGCTGAATACGAGCTTGCCGCTTACATCTGGAATGAATAATCATCCGATCTTGCAACCTAGCGACAATGATCTGTCTGTACAATCGCACCAAAGGTTGAGCTGCTCGTAACCGCCTCACCTGGCTGCAGCAACTCTTACGCAGCATATGTTCGATTCGAAAACACACGTCGGAATGCATCCAGACGGTAGTGCGCGCTCCGGGCTTGTAAAGCAAATAGATAGATACGCCTCATCAGTCATGTACAGAGCCGAGTGGTTTCTGTTCTTCTTTACAATACTGTCAAGTAAGACAGCCAGAAGAATCAAGACTTGACGCGTCGCAAATCAATCGATAGCGCAGCTTTGATTGCAAATTGTCTACACATCGTCAGATAAGTACAACAAAACAGGGACTACCAACCGAAGATGTGCTGAAAAAAGTGTTACTCAAGGTCAGCTGGTGACGCAGTTGAACTGCGAAGTGCACATTTGGGAATGTGCTGGTGCTGACTGGTTTTGTCATCGTAACATGATCACGCCGGAGAGACATGGCATCGATCCACGTGCCTCCCGTTCGAGAAGCGAGCGCTCGACAACCAGAGCCTCATGCTCACGTGTTACCACTGTCAACACACTAGTAACATACCGATCATGCATGCATAGACCGAATCACAACAACGGCCACAACAATACGTCATTCTTGACATTGCTATCACGACATTCCAATCAGTGATGGCACAACCACAAACGCACAAACGCTTTTCACACACGCTACAAGAGCACAAAACAACTCGTCAGAATGTTCGGATCCATTTCATATGCACCACTCAGTGCACTGGCATGCAAAATCATCAACTCGATATTGGACACTGCTGAATACGAGCTTGTCGCTTACATCTGGGATGAATAATCATCCGATCTTGCAACCTAGCGACAATGATCTGTCTGTACAATCGCATCAAAGGTTGAGCTGCTCGTAACCGCCTCACCTGGCTGCAGCAACTCTTACGCAGCATATGTTCGATTCGAAAACACACGTCGGAATGCATCCAGACGGTAGTGCGCGCTCCGGGCTTGTAAAGCAAATAGATAGATGCGCCTCATCAGTCATGTACAGAGCCGAGTGGTTTCTGTTCGTCTTTACAATACTGTCAAGTAAGACAGCCAGAAGAATCAAGACTTGACGCGTCGCAAATCAATCGATAGCGCAGCTTTGATTGCAAATTGTCTACACATCGTCAGATAAGTACAACAAAACAGGGACTACCAACCGAAGATGTGCTGAAAAAAGTGTTACTCAAGGTCAGCTGGTGACGCAGTTGAACTGCGAAGTGCACATTTGGGAATGTGCTGGTGCTGACTGGTTTTGTCATCGTAACATGATCACGCCGGAGAGACATGGCATCGATCCACGTGCCTCTCGTTCGAGAAGCGAGCGCTCGGCAACCAGAGCCTCATCCTCACGTGTTACCACTGTCAACACACTAGTAACATACCGATCATGCATGCATAGACCGAATCACAACAACGGCCACAACAATACGTCGTTCTTGACATTGCTATCACGACATTCCAATCAGTGATGGCACAACCACAAACGCACAAACGCTTTTCACACACGCTACAAGAGCACAAAACAACTCGTCAGAATATTCGGATCCATTTCATATGCACCACTCAGTGCACTGGCATGCAAATCATCAACTCGATATTGGACACTGCTGAATACGAGCTTGCCGCTTGCATCTGGGATGAAGAATCATCCGATCTTACAACCTAGCGACAATGATCTGTCTGTACAATCGCAACAAAGGTTGAGCTGCTCGTAACCGCCTCACCTGGCTGCAGCAACTCTTATGCAGCATATGTTCGATTCGAAAACACACGTCGGAATGCATCCAGACGGTAGTGCGCGCTCCGGGCTTGTAAAGCAAATAGATAGATGCGCCTCATCAATCATGTACAGAGCCGAGTGGTTTCTGTTCTTCTTTACAATACTGTCAAGTAAGACAGCCAGAAGAATCAAGACTTGACGCGTCGCAAATCAATCGATAGCGCAGCTTTGATTGCAAATTGTCTACACATCGTCAGATAAGTACAACAAAACAGGGACTACCAACCGAAGATGTGCTGAAAAAAGTGTTACTCAAGGTCAGCTGGTGACGCAGTTGAACTGCGAAGTGCACATTTGGGAATGTGCTGGTGCTGACTGGTTTTGTCATCGTAACATGATCACGCCGGAGAGACATGGCATCGATCCACTTGCCTCCCGTTCGAGAAGCGAGCGCTCAACAGCCAGAGCCTCATGCTCACGTGTTACCACTGTCAACACACTAGTAACATACCGATCATGCATGCATAGACCGAATCACAACAACGGCCACAACAATACGTCACTCTTGACATTGCTATCGCGACATTCCAATCAGTGATGGCACAACCACAAACGCACAAACGCTTTTCACACACGCTACAAGAGCACAAAACAAATCGTCAGAATATTCGGATCCATTTCATATGCACCACTCAGTGCACTGGCATGCAAAATCATCAACTCGATATTGGACACTGCTGAATACGAGCTTGCCGCTTGCATCTGGGATGAAGAATCATCCGATCTTGCAACCTAGCGACAATGATCTGTCTGTACAATCGCATTAAAGGTTGAGCTGCTCGTAACCGCCTCACCTGGCTGCAGCAACTCTTACGCAGCATATGTTCGATTCGAAAACACACGTCGGAATGCATCCAGACGGTAGTGCGCGCTCCGGGCTTGTAAAGCAAATAGATAGATGCGCCTCATCAGTCATGTACAGAGCCGAGTGGTTTCTGTTCTTCTTTACAATACTGTCAAGTAAGACAGCCAGAAGAATCAAGACTTGACGCGTCGCAAATCAATCGATAGCGCAGCTTTGATTGCAAATTGTCTACACATCGTCAGATAAGTACAACAAAACAGGGACTACCAACCGAAGATGTGCTGAAAAAAGTGTTACTCAAGGTCAGCTGGTGACGCAGTTGAACTGCGAAGTGCACATTTGGGAATGTGCTGGTGCTGACTGGTTTTGTCATCGTAACATGATCACGCCGGAGAGACATGGCATCGATCCACGTGCCTCCCGTTCGAGAAGCGAACGCTCGACAACCAGAGCCTCATGCTCACGTGTTACCACTGTCAACACACTAGTAACATACCGATCATGCATGCATAGACCGAATCACAACAACGGCCACAACAATACGTCGTTCTTGACTTTGCTATCACGACATTCCAATCAGTGATGGCACAACCACAAACGCACAAACGCTTTTCACACACGCTACAAGAGCACAAAACAACTCGTCAGAAGACTCGGATCCATTTCATATGCACCACTCAGTGCACTGGCATGCAAAATCATCAACTCGATATTGGACACTGCTGAATACGAGCTTGTCGCTTACATCTGGGATGAAGAATCATCCGATCTTGCAACCTAGCGACAATGATCTGTCTGTACAATTGCATTAAAGGTTGAGCTGCTCGTAACCGCCTCACCTGGCTGCAGCAACTCTTACGCAGCATATGTTCGATTCGAAAACACACGTCGGAATGCATCCAGACGGTAGTGCGCGCTCCGGGCTTGTAAAGCAAATAGATAGATGCGCCTCATCAGTCATGTACAGAGCCGAGTGGTTTCTGTTCGTCTTTACAATACTGTCAAGTAAGACAGCAAGAAGAATCAAGACTTGACGCGACGCAAATCAATCGATAGCGCAGCTTTGATTGCAAATTGTCTACACATCGTCAGATAAGTACAACAAAACAGGGACTACCAACCGAAGATGTGCTGAAAAAAGTGCTACTCAAGGTCAGCTGGTGACGCAGTTGAACTGCGAAGTGCACATTTGGGAATGTGCTGGTGCTGACTGGTTTTGTCATCGTAACATGATCACGCCGGAGAGACATGGCATCGATCCACGTGCCTCTCGTTCTAGAAGCGAGCGCTCGACAACCAGAGCCTCATGCTCACGTGTTACCACTGTCAACACACTATTAACATACCGATCATGCATGCATAGACCGAATCACAACAACGGCCACAACAATACGTCATTCTTGACATTGCTATCACGACATTCCAATCAGTGATGGCACAACCACAAACGCACAAACGCTTTTCACACACGCTACAAGAGCACAAAACAACTCGTCAGAATATTCGGATCCATTTCATATGCACCACTCAGTGCACTGGCATGCAAAATCATCAACTCGATATTGGACACTGCTGAATACGAGCTTGCCGCTTACATCTGGGATGAAGAATCATCCGATCTTGCAACCTAGCGACAATGATCTGTCTGTACAATCGCACCAAAGGTTGAGCTGCTCGTAACCGCCTCACCTGGCTGCAGCAACTCTTACGCAGCATATGTTCGATTCGAAAACACACGTCGGAATGCATCCAGACGGTAGTGCGCGCTCCGGGCTTGTAAAGCAAATAGATAGATGCGCCTCATCAGTCATGTACAGAGCCGAGTGGTTTCTGTTCGTCTTTACAATACTGTCAAGTAAGACAGCCAGAAGAATCAAGACTTGACGCGTCGCAAATCAATCGATAGCGCAGCTTTGATTGCAAATTGTCTACACATCGTCAGATAAGTACAACAAAACAGGGACTACCAACCGAAGATGTGCTGAAAAAAGTGTTACTCAAGGTCAGCTGGTGACGCAGTTGAACTGCGAAGTGCACATTTGGGAATGTGCTGGTGCTGACTGGTTTTGTCATCGTAACATGATCACGCCGGAGAGACATGGCATCGATCCACGTGCCTCCCGTTCGAGAAGCGAGCGCTCGACAACCAGAGCCTCATGCTCACGTGTTACCACTGTCAACACACTAGTAACATACCGATCATGCATGCATAGACCGAATCACAACAACGGCCACAACAATACGTCATTCTTGACATTGCTATCACGACATTCCAATCAGTGATGGCACAACCACAAACGCACAAACGCTTTTTCACACACGCTACAAGAGCACAAAACAACTCGTCAGAATATTCGGATCCATTTCATATGCACCACTCAGTGCACTGGCATGCAAAATCATCAACTCGATATTGGACACTGCTGAATACGAGCTTGCCGCTTGCATCTGGGATGAAGAATCATCCGATCTTGCAACCTAGCGACAATGATCTGTCTGTACAATCGCACCAAAGGTTGAGCTGCTCGTAACCGCCTCACCTGGCTGCAGCAACTCTTACGCAGCATATGTTCGATTCGAAAACACACGTCGGAATGCATCCAGACGGTAGTGCGCGCTCCGGGCTTGTAAAGCAAATAGATAGATGCGCCTCATCAGTCATGTACAGAGCCGAGTGGTTTCTGTTCGTCTTTACAATACTGTCAAGTAAGACAGCCAGAAGAATCAAGACTTGACGCGTCGCAAATCAATCGATAGCGCAGCTTTGATTGCAAATTGTCTACACATCGTCAGATAAGTACAACAAAACAGGGACTACCAACCGAAGATGTGCTGAAAAAGTGTTACTCAAGGTCAGCTGGTGACGCAGTTGAACTGCGAAGTGCACATTTGGGAATGTGCTGGTGCTGACTGGTTTTGTCATCGTAACATGATCACGCCGGAGAGACATGGCATCGATCCACGTGCCTCCCGTTCGAGAAGCGAGCGCTCGACAACCAGAGCCTCATGCTCACGTGTTACCACTGTCAACACACTAGTAACATACCGATCATGCATGCATAGACCGAATCACAACAACGGCCACAACAATACGTCGTTCTTGACATTGCTATCACGACATTCCAATCAGTGATGGCACAACCACAAACGCACAAACGCTTTTCACACACGCTACAAGAGCACAAAACAACTCGTCAGAATATTCGGATCCATTTCATATGCACCACTCAGTGCACTGGCATGCAAAATCATCAACTCGATATTGGACACTGCTGAATACGAGCTTGCCGCTTACATCTGGGATGAAGAATCATCCGATCTTGCAACCTAGCGACAATGATCTGTCTGTACAATCGCACCAAAGGTTGAGCTGCTCGTAACCGCCTCACCTGGCTGCAGCAACTCTTACGCAGCATATGTTCGATTCGAAAACACACGTCGGAATGCATCCAGACGGTAGTGCGCGCTCCGGGCTTGTAAAGCAAATAGATAGATGCGCCTCATCAGTCATGTACAGAGCCGAGTGGTTTCTGTTCGTCTTTACAATACTGTCAAGTAAGACAGCAAGAAGAATCAAGACTTGACGCGGCGCAAATCAATCGATAGCGCAGCTTTGATTGCAAATTGTCTACACATCGTCAGATAAGTACAACAAAACAGGGACTACCAACCGAAGATGTGCTGAAAAAGTGTTACTCAAGGTCAGCTGGTGACGCAGTTGAACTGCGAAGTGCACATTTGGGAATGTGCTGGTGCTGACTGGTTTTGTCATCGTAACATGATCACGCCGGAGAGACATGGCATCGATCCACGTGCCTCCCGTTCGAGAAGCGAGCGCTCGACAACCAGAGCCTCATGCTCACGTGTTACCACTGTCAACACACTAGTAACATACCGATCATGCATGCATAGACCGAATCACAACAACGGCCACAACAATACGTCATTCTTGACATTGCTATCACGACATTCCAATCAGTGATGGCACAACCACAAACGCACAAACGCTTTTCACACACGCTACAAGAGCACAAAACAACTCGTCAGAATATTCGGATCCATTTCATATGCACCACTCAGTGCACTGGCATGCAAAATCATCAACTCGATATTGGACACTGCTGAATACGAGCTTGCCGCTTACATCTGGGATGAAGAATCATCCGATCTTGCAACCTAGCGACAATGATCTGTCTGTACAATCGCACCAAAGGTTGAGCTGCTCGTAACCGCCTCACCTGGCTGCAGCAACTCTTACGCAGCATATGTTCGATTCGAAAACACACGTCGGAATGCATCCAGACGGTAGTGCGCGCTCCGGGCTTGTAAAGCAAATAGATAGATGCGCCTCATCAGTCATGTACAGAGCCGAGTGGTTTCTGTTCGTCTTTACAATACTGTCAAGTAAGACAGCCAGAAGAATCAAGACTTGACGCGTCGCAAATCAATCGATAGCGCAGCTTTGATTGCAAATTGTCTACACATCGTCAGATAAGTACAACAAAACAGGGACTACCAACCGAAGATGTGCTGAAAAAGTGTTACTCAAGGTCAGCTGGTGACGCAGTTGAACTGCGAAGTGCACATTTGGGAATGTGCTGGTGCTGACTGGTTTTGTCATCGTAACATGATCACGCCGGAGAGACATGGCATCGATCCACGTGCCTCCCGTTCGAGAAGCGAGCGCTCGACAACCAGAGCCTCATGCTCACGTGTTACCACTGTCAACACACTAGTAACATACCGATCATGCATGCATAGACCGAATCACAACAACGGCCACAACAATACGTCGTTCTTGACATTGCTATCACGACATTCCAATCAGTGATGGCACAACCACAAACGCACAAACGCTTTTCACACACGCTACAAGAGCACAAAACAACTCGTCAGAATATTCGGATCCATTTCATATGCACCACTCAGTGCACTGGCATGCAAAATCATCAACTCGATATTGGACACTGCTGAATACGAGCTTGCCGCTTACATCTGGGATGAAGAATCATCCGATCTTGCAACCTAGCGACAATTATCTGTCTGTACAATCGCATCAAAGGTTGAGCTGCTCGTAACCGCCTCACCTGGCTGCAGCAACTCTTACGCAGCATATGTTCGATTCGAAAACACACGTCGGAATGCATCCAGACGGTAGTGCGCGCTCCGGGCTTGTAAAGCAAATAGATAGATGCGCCTCATCAGTCATGTACAGAGCCGAGTGGTTTCTGTTCGTCTTTACAATACTGTCAAGTAAGACAGCCAGAAGAATCAAGACTTGACGCGTCGCAAATCAATCGATAGCGCAGCTTTGATTGCAAATTGTCTACACATCGTCAGATAAGTACAACAAAACAGGGACTACCAACCGAAGATGTGCTGAAAAAAGTGTTACTCAAGGTCAGCTGGTGACGCAGTTGAACTGCGAAGTGCACATTTGGGAATGTGCTGGTGCTGACTGGTTTTGTCATCGTAACATGATCACGCCGGAGAGACATGGCATCGATCCACGTGCCTCTCGTTCGAGAAGCGAGCGCTCGACAACCAGAGCCTCATGCTCACGTGTTACCACTGTCAACACACTAGTAACATACCGATCATGCATGCATAGACCGAATCACAACAACGGCCACAACAATACGTCATTCTTGACATTGCTATCGCGACATTCCAATCAGTGATGGCACAACCACAAACGCACAAACGCTTTTCACACACGCTACAAGAGCACAAAACAACTCGTCAGAATATTCGGATCCATTTCATATGCACCACTCAGTGCACTGGCATGCAAAATCATCAACTCGATATTGGACACTGCTGAATACGAGCTTGCCACTAACATCTGGGATGAAGAATCATCCGATCTTGCAACCTAGCGACAATTATCTGTCTGTACAATCGCATTAAAGGTTGAGCTGCTCGTAACCGCCTCACCTGGCTGCAGCAACTCTTACGCAGCATATGTTCGATTCGAAAACACACGTCGGAATGCATCCAGACGGTAGTGCGCGCTCCGGGCTTGTAAAGCAAATAGATAGATGCGCCTCATCAGTCATGTACAGAGCCGAGTGGTTTCTGTTCGTCTTTACAATACTGTCAAGTAAGACAGCCAGAAGAATCAAGACTTGACGCGGCGCAAATCAATCGATAGCGCAGCTTTGATTGCAAATTGTCTACACATCGTCAGATAAGTACAACAAAACAGGGACTACCAACCGAAGATGTGCTGAAAAAAGTGTTACTCAAGGTCAGCTGGTGACGCAGTTGAACTGCGAAGTGCACATTTGGGAATGTGCTGGTGCTGACTGGTTTTGTCATCGTAACATGATCACGCCGGAGAGGCATGGCATCGATCCACTTGCCTCCCGTTCGAGAAGCGAGCGCTCGACAACCAGAGCCTCATGCTCACGTGTTACCACTGTCAACACACTAGTAACATACCGATCATGCATGCATAGACCGAATCACAACAACGGCCACAACAATACGTCATTCTTGAAATTGCTATCGCGACATTCCAATCAGTGATGGCACAACCACAAACGCACAAACGCTTTTCACACACGCTACAAGAGCACAAAACAACTCGTCAGAATGTTCGGATCCATTTCATATGCACCACTCAGTGCACTGGCATGCAAAATCATCAACTCGATATTGGACACTGCTGAATACGAGCTTGTCGCTTACATCTGGGATGAAGAATCATCCGATCTTGCAACCTAGCGACAATTATCTGTCTGTACAATCGCACCAAAGGTTGAGCTGCTCGTAACCGCCTCACCTGGCTGCAGCAACTCTTACGCAGCATATGTTCGATTCGAAAACACACGTCGGAATGCATCCAGACGGTAGTGCGCGCTCCGGGCTTGTAAAGCAAATAGATAGATACGCCTCATCAGTCATGTACAGAGCCGAGTGGTTTCTGTTCGTCTTTACAATACTGTCAAGTAAGACAGCCAGAAGAATCAAGACTTGACGCGGCGCAAATCAATCGATAGCGCAGCTTTGATTGCAAATTGTCTACACATCGTCAGATAAGTACAACAAAACAGGGACTACCAACCGAAGATGTGCTGAAAAAGTGTTACTCAAGGTCAGCTGGTGACGCAGTTGAACTGCGAAGTGCACATTTGGGAATGTGCTGGTGCTGACTGGTTTTGTCATCGTAACATGATCACGCCGGAGAGACATGGCATCGATCCACGTGCCTCCCGTTCGAGAAGCGAGCGCTCGACAACCAGAGCCTCATGCTCACGTGTTACCACTGTCAACACACTAGTAACATACCGATCATGCATGCATAGACCGAATCACAACAACGGCCACAACAATACGTCGTTCTTGACATTGCTATCACGACATTCCAATCAGTGATGGCACAACCACAAACGCACAAACGCTTTTTACACACGCTACAAGAGCACAAAACAACTCGTCAGAATATTCGGATCCATTTCATATGCACCACTCAGTGCACTGGCATGCAAAATCATCAACTCGATATTGGACACTGCTGAATACGAGCTTGCCGCTTACATCTGGGATGAAGAATCATCCGATCTTGCAACCTAGCGACAATTATCTGTCTGTACAATCGCATCAAAGGTTGAGCTGCTCGTAACCGCCTCACCTGGCTGCAGCAACTCTTACGCAGCATATGTTCGATTCGAAAACACACGTCGGAATGCATCCAGACGGTAGTGCGCGCTCCGGGCTTGTAAAGCAAATAGATAGATGCGCCTCATCAGTCATGTACAGAGCCGAGTGGTTTCTGTTCGTCTTTACAATACTGTCAAGTAAGACAGCAAGAAGAATCAAGACTTGACGCGGCGCAAATCAATCGATAGCACAGCTTTGATTGCAAATTGTCTACACATCGTCAGATAAGTACAACAAAACAGGGACTACCAACCGAAGATGTGCTGAAAAAAAGTGTTACTCAAGGTCAGCTGGTGACGCAGTTGAACTGCGAAGTGCACATTTGGGAATGTGCTGGTGCTGACTGGTTTTGTCATCGTAACATGATCACGCCGGAGATGCATGGCATCGATCCACGTGCCTCCCGTTCGAGAAGCGAGCGCTCGACAACCAGAGCCTCATGCTCACGTGTTACCACTGTCAACACACTATTAACATACCGATCCGGCATGCATAGACCGAATCACAACAACGGCCACAACAATACGTCATTCTTGTAATTGCTATCACGACATTCCAATCAGTGATGGCACAACCACAAACGCACAAACGCTTTTTACATACGCTACAAGAGCACAAAACAACTCGTCAGAATATTCGGATCCATTTCATATGCACCACTCAGTGCACTGGCATGCAAAATCATCAACTCGATATTGAACACTGCTGAATACGAGCTTGTCGCTTACATCTGGGATGAAGAATCATCCGATCTTGCAACCTAGCGACAATGATCTGTCTGTACAATCGCACCAAAGGTTGAGCTGCTCGTAACCGCCTCACCTGGCTGCAGCAACTCTTACGCAGCATATGTTCGATTCGAAAACACACGTCGGAATGCATCCAGACGGTAGTGCGCGCTCCGGGCTTGTAAAGCAAATAGATAGATGCGCCTCATCAGTCATGTACAGAGCCGAGTGGTTTCTGTTCGTCTTTACAATACTGTCAAGTAAGACAGCAAGAAGAATCAAGACTTGACGCGGCGCAAATCAATCGATAGCGCAGCTTTGATTGCAAATTGTCTACACATCGTCAGATAAGTACAACAAAACAGGGACTACCAACCGAAGATGTGCTGAAAAAGTGTTACTCAAGGTCAGCTGGTGACGCAGTTGAACTGCGAAGTGCACATTTGGGAATGTGCTGGTGCTGACTGGTTTTGTCATCGTAACATGATCACGCCGGAGATGCATGGCATCGATCCACGTGCCTCCCGTTCGAGAAGCGAGCGCTCGACAACCAGAGCCTCATGCTCACGTGTTACCACTGTCAACACACTAGTAACATACCGATCCGGCATGCATAGACCGAATCACAACAACGGCCACAACAATACGTCGTTCTTGACATTGCTATCACGACATTCCAATCAGTGATGGCACAACCACAAACGCACAAACGCTTTTCACACACGCTACAAGAGCACAAAACAACTCGTCAGAATGTTCGGATCCATTTCATATGCACCACTCAGTGCACTGGCATGCAAAATCATCAACTCGATTTTGGACACTGCTGAATGCGAGCTTGCCGCTTGCATCTGGGATGAAGAATCATCCGATCTTGCAACCTAGCGACAATTATCTGTCTGTACAATCGCACCAAAGGTTGAGCTGCTCGTAACCGCCTCACCTGGCTGCAGCAACTCTTACGCAGCATATGTTCGATTCGAAAACACACGTCGGAATGCATCCAGACGGTAGTGCGCGCTCCGGGCTTGTAAAGCAAATAGATAGATGCGCCTCATCAGTCATGTACAGAGCCGAGTGGTTTCTGTTCGTCTTTACAATACTGTCAAGTACGACAGCCAGAAGAATCAAGACTTGACGCGTCGCAAATCAATCGATAGCGCAGCTTTGATTGCAAATTGTCTACACATCGTCAGATAAGTACACAAAACAGGGACTACCAACCGAAATGTGCTGAAAAAAGTGTTACTCAAGGTCAGCTGGTGACGCAGTTGAACTGCGAAGTGCACATTTGGGAATGTGCTGGTGCTGACTGGTTTTGTCATCGTAACATGATCACGCCGGAGATGCATGGCATCGATCCACGTGCCTCCCGTTCGAGAAGCGAGCGCTCGACAACCAGAGCCTCATGCTCACGTGTTACCACTGTCAACACACTAGTAACATACCGATCCTGCATGCATAGACCGAATCACAACAACGGCCACAACAATACGTCGTTCTTGACATTGCTATCACGACATTCCAATCAGTGATGGCACAACCACAAACGCACAAACGCTTTTCACACACGCTACAAGAGCACAAAACAACTCGTCAGAATGTTCGGATCCATTTCATATGCACCACTCAGTGCACTGGCATGCAAAATCATCAACTCGATTTTGGACACTGCTGAATGCGAGCTTGCCGCTTGCATCTGGGATGAAGAATCATCCGATCTTACAACCTAGCGACAATGATCTGTCTGTACAATCGCACCAAAGGTTGAGCTGCTCGTAACCGCCTCACCTGGCTGCAGCAACTCTTACGCAGCATATGTTCAATTCGAAAACACACGTCGGAATGCATCCAAACGGTAGTGCGCGCTCCGGGCTTGTAAAGCAAATAGATAGATACGCCTCATCAGTCATGTACAGAGCCGAGTGGTTTCTGTTCGTCTTTACAATACTGTCAAGTACGACAGCAAGAAGAATCAAGACTTGACGCGGCGCAAATCAATCGATAGCACAGCTTTGATTGCAAATTGTCTACACATCGTCAGATAAGTACAACGAAAATGTGCTGATAAAGTGTTACTCAAGGTCAGCTGGTGACGCAGTTGAACTGCGAAGTGCACATTTGGGAATGTGCTGGTGCTGACTGGTTTTGTCATCGTAACATGATCACGCCGGAGATGCAGGGCATCGATCCACGTGCCTCCTGTTCGAGAAGCGAGCGCTCGACAACCAGAGCCTCATGCTCACGTGTTACCACTGTCAACACACTATTAACATACCGATCCTGCATGCATAGACCGAATCACAACAACGGCCACAACAATACGTCACTCTTGACATTGCTATCGCGACATTCCAATCAGTGATGGCACAACCACAAACGCACAAACGCTTTTCACACACGCTACAAGAGCACAAAACAACTCGTCAGAATGTTCGGATCCATTTCATATGCACCTCGCAGTGCACTGGCATGCAAAACCATCAACTCGATATTGGACACTGCTGAATACGAGCTTGCCGCTTACATCTGGGATGAAGAATCATCCGATCTTGCAACCTAGCAACAATGATCTGTCTGTACAACCGCATCAAAGGTTCAGCTGCTCGTAACCGCCTCACCTGGCTGCAGCAACTCTTACGCAGCATATGTTCGATTCGAAAACACACGTCGGAATGCATCCAGACGGTAGTGCGCGCTCCGGGCTTGTAAATCAAATAGATAGATGCGCCTCATCAGTCATGTACAGAGCCGAGTGGTTTCTGTTCGTCTTTACAATACTGTCAAGTAAGACAGCAAGAAGAATCAAGACTTGACGCGGCGCAAATCAATCGATAGCACAGATTTGATTGCAAATTGTCTACACATCGTCAGATAAGTACAACAAAACAGGGACTACCAACCGAAGATGTGCTGAAAAAGTGTTACTCAAGGTCAGCTGGTGACGCAGTTGAACTGCGAAGTGCACATTTGGGAATGTGCTGGTGCTGACTGGTTTTGTCATCGTAACATGATCATCCGGAGATGCATGGCATCGATCCACGTGCCTCCTGTTCGAGAAGCGAGCGCTCGACAACCAGAGCCTCATGCTCACGTGTTACCACTGTCAACACACTATTAACATACCGATCCGGCATGCATAGACCGAATCACAACAACGGCCACAACAATACGTCGTTCTTGACATTGCTATCATGATATTCCAATCAGTGATGGCACAACCACAAACGCACAAACGCTTTTCACACACGCTACAAGAGCACAAAACAACTCGTCAGAATGTTCGGATCCATTTCATATGCACCACTCAGTGCACTGGCATGCAAATCATCAACTCAATATTGGACACTGCTGAATACGAGCTTGCCGCTTACATCTGGGATGAAGAATCATCCGATCTTGCAACCTAGCGACAATTATCTGTCTGTACAATCGCACCAAAGGTTGAGCTGCTCGTAACCGCCTCACATGGCTGCAGCAACTCTTACGCAGCATATGTTCGATTCGAAAACACACGTCGGAATTCATCCAGACGGTAGTGCGCGCTCCGGGCTTGTAAAGCAAATAGATAGATGCGCCTCATCAGTCATGTACAGAGCCGAGTGGTTTCTGTTCGTCTTTACAATACTGTCAAGTAAGACAGCAAGAAGAATCAAGACTTGACGCGGCGCAAATCAATCGATAGCACAGCTTTGATTGCAAATTGTCTACACATCGTCAGATAAGTACAACAAAACAGGGACTACCAACCGAAGATGTGCTGAAAAAAGTGTTACTCAAGGTCAGCTGGTGACGCAGTTGAACTGCGAAGTGCACATTTGGGAATGTGCTGGTGCTGACTGGTTTTGTCATCGTAACATGATCACGCCGGAGATGACATGGCATCGATCCACGTGCCTCCCGTTCGAGAAGCGAGCGCTCGACAACCAGAGCCTCATGCTCACGTGTTACCACTGTCAACACACTATTAACATACCGATCCGGCATGCATAGACCGAATCACAACAACGGCCACAACAATACGTCATTCTTGACATTGCTATCGCGACATTCCAATCAGTGATGGCACAACCACAAACGCACAAACGCTTTTCACACACGCTACAAGAGCACAAAACAACTCGTCAGAATGTTCGGATCCATTTCATATGCACCACTCAGTGCACTGGCATGCAAAATCATCAACTCGATATTGGACACTGCTGAATACGAGCTTGCCGCTTACATCTGGGATGAAGAATCACCCGATCTTGCAACCTAGCGACAATGATCTGTCTGTACAATCGCATCAAAGGTTGAGCTGCTCGTAACCGCCTCACCTGGCTGCAGCAACTCTTACGCAGCATATGTTCGATTCGAAAACACACGTCGGAATTCATCCAGACGGTAGTGCGCGCTCCGGGCTTGTAAAGCAAATAGATAGATGCGCCTCATCAGTCATGTACAGAGCCGAGTGGTTTCTGTTCGTCTTTACAATACTGTCAAGTAAGACAGCAAGAAGAATCAAGACTTGACGCGGCGCAAATCAATCGATAGCGCAGCTTTGATTGCAAATTGTCTACACATCGTCAGATAAGTACAACAAAACAGGGACTACCAACCGAAAATGTGCTGAAAAAGTGTTACTCAAGGTCAGCTGGTGACGCAGTTGAACTGCGAAGTGCACATTTGGGAATGTGCTGGTGCTGACTGGTTTTGTCATCGTAACATGATCACGCCGGAGATGCATGGCATCGATCCACGTGCCTCCTGTTCGAGAAGCGAGCGCTCGACAACCAGAGCCTCATGCTCACGTGTTACCACTGTCAACACACTATTAACATACCGATCCGGCATGCATAGACCGAATCACAACAACGGCCACAACAATACGTCATTCTTGACATTGCTATCACGACATTCCAATCAGTGATGGCACAACCACAAACGTACAAACGCTTTTTACACAAGCTACAAGAGCACAAAACAACTCGTCAGAATGTTCGGATCCATTTTATATGCACCACTCAGTGCACTGGCATGCAAAATCATCAACTCGATATTGGACACTGCTGAATACGAGCTTGCCACTAACATCTGGGATGAAGAATCATCCGATCTTGCAATCTAGCAACAATTATCTGTCTGTACAATCGCACCAAAGGTACAGCTGCTCGTAACCGCCTCACCTGGCTGCAGCAACTCTTACGCAGCATATGTTCGATTCGAAAACACACGTCGGAATGCATCCAGACGGTAGTGCGCGCTCCGGGCTTGTAAATCAAATAGATAGATGCGCCTCATCAGTCATGTACAGAGCCGAGTGGTTTCTGTTCGTCTTTACAATACTGTCAAGTAAGACAGCAAGAAGAATCAAGACTTGACGCGGCGCAAATCAATCGATAGAACAGCTTTGATTGCAAATTGTCTACACATCGTCAGATAAGTACAACAAAACAGGGACTACCAACCGAAAATGTGCTGAAAAAGTGTTACTCAAGGTCAGCTGGTGACGCAGTTGAACTGCGAAGTGCACATTTGGGAATGTGCTGGTGCTGACTGGTTTTGTCATCGTAACATGATCACGCCGGAGAGACATGGCATCGATCCACGTGCCTCCCGTTCGAGAAGCGAGCGCTCGACAACCAGAGCCTCATGCTCACGTGTTACCACTGTCAACACACTAGTAACATACCGATCCGGCATGCATAGACCGAATCACAACAACGGCCACAACAATACGTCACTCTTGACATTGCTATCGCGACATTCCAATCAGTGATGGCACAACCACAAACGCACAAACGCTTTTTTACACACGCTACAAGAGCACAAAACAACTCGTCAGAATATTCGGATCCATTTCATATGCACCTCGCAGTGCACTGGCATGCAAAATCATCAACTCGATATTGGACACTGCTGAATACGAGCTTGCCGCTTACATCTGGGATGAAGAATCACCCAATCTTGCAATCTAGCAACAATGATCTGTCTATACAATCGCATCAAAGGTACAGCTGCTCGTAACCGCCTCACCTGGCTGCAGCAACTCTTACGCAGCATATGTTCGATTCGAAAACACACGTCGGAATTCATCCAGACGGTAGTGCGCGCTCCGGGCTTGTAAATCAAATAGATAGATGCGCCTCATCAGTCATGTACAGAGCCGAGTGGTTTCTGTTCGTCTTTACAATACTGTCAAGTAAGACAGCAAGAAGAATCAAGACTTGACGCGGCGCAAATCAATCGATAGAACAGCTTTGATTGCAAATTGTCTACACATCGTCAGATAAGCACGACCAAACAGGGACTACCAACCGAAGATGTGCTGAAAAAAGTGTTACTCAAGGTCAGCTGGTGACGCAGTTGAACTGCGAAGTGCACATTTGGGAATGTGCTGGTGCTGACTGGTTTTGTCATCGTAACATGATCACGCCGGAGATGCATGGCATCGATCCACGTGCCTCCCGTTCGAGAAGCGAGCGCTCGACAACCAGAGCCTCATGCTCACGTGTTACCACTGTCAACACACTATTAACATACCGATCCGGCATGCATAGACCGAATCACAACAACGGCCACAACAATACGTCATTCTTGACATTGCTATCACGACATTCCAATCAGTGATGACACAACCACAACCTTGCACAAACGCTTTTTACACACGCTACAAGAGCACAAAACAACTCGTCAGAATATTCGGATCCATTTCATATGTACCACTCAGTGCACTGGCATGCAAAACCATCAACTCGATATTGGACACTGCTGAATACGAGCTTGCCGCTTACATCTGGGATGAAGAATCACCCAATCTTGCAACCTAGCGACAATTATCTGTCTGTACAATCGCACCAAAGGTACAGCTACTCGTAACCGCCTCACCTGGCTGCAGCAACTCTTACGCAGCATATGTTCGATTCGAAAACACACGTCGGAATGCATCCAGACGGTAGTGCGCGCTCCGGGCTTGTAAAGCAAATAGATAGATGCGCCTCATCAGTCATGTACAGAGCCGAGTGGTTTCTGTTCGTCTTTACAATACTGTCAAGTAAGACAGCAAGAAGAATCAAGACTTGACGCGGCGCAAATCAATCGATAGCACAGCTTTGATTGCAAATTGTCTACACATCGTCAGATAAGTACAACAAAACAGGGACTACCAACCGAAAATGTGCTGAAAAAAGTGTTACTCAAGGTCAGCTGGTGACGCAGTTGAACTGCGAAGTGCACATTTGGGAATGTGCTGGTGCTGACTGGTTTTGTCATCGTAACATGATCACGCCGGAGATGCATGGCATCGATCCACGTGCCTCCCGTTCGAGAAGCGAGCGCTCGACAACCAGAGCCTCATGCTCACGTGTTACCACTGTCAACACACTATTAACATACCGATCCGGCATGCATAGACCGAATCACAACAACGGCCACAACAATACGTCATTCTTGACATTGCTATCACGACATTCCAATCAGTGATGGCACAACCACAAACGTACAAACGCTTTTTACACACGCTACAAGAGCACAAAACAACTCGTCAGAATGTTCGGATCCATTTCATATGCACCTCTCAGTGCACTGGCATGCAAAACCATCAACTCGATATTGGACACTGCTGAATACGAGCTTGCCGCTTACATCTGGGATGAAGAATCACCCAATCTTGCAATCTAGCAACAATGATCTGTCTATACAACCGCATCAAAGGTACAGCTGCTCGTAACCGCCTCACCTGGCTGCAGCAACTCTTACGCAGCATATGTTCGATTCGAAAACACACGTCGGAATTCATCCAGACGGTAGTGCGCGCTCCGGGCTTGTAAAGCAAATAGATAGATGCGCCTCATCAGTCATGTACAGAGCCGAGTGGTTTCTGTTCGTCTTTACAATACTGTCAAGTAAGACAGCAAGAAGAATCAAGACTTGACGCGGCGCAAATCAATCGATAGAACAGTTTTGATTGCAAATTGTCTACACATCGTCAGATAAGCACGACCAAACAGGGACTACCAACCGAAAATGTGCTGATAAAGTGTTACTCAAGGTCAGCTGGTGACGCAGTTGAACTGCGAAGTGCACATTTGGGAATGTGCTGGTGCTGACTGGTTTTGTCATCGTAACATGATCACGCCGGAGAGACATGGCATCGATCCACGTGCCTCTCGTTCGAGAAGCGAGCGCTCGACAACCAGAGCCTCATGCTCACGTGTTACCACTGTCAACACACTAGTAACATACCGATCCGGCATGCATAGACCGAATCACAACAACGGCCACAACAATACGTCACTCTTGACATTGCTATCGCGACATTCCAATCAGTGATGTCACAACCACAAACGCACAACGCTTTTTACACAAGCTACAAGAGCACAAAACAACTCGTCAGAATGTTCGGATCCATTTCATATGCACCTCGCAGTGCACTGGCATGCAAAACCATCAACTCGATATTGGACACTGCTGAATACGAGCTTGCCGCTTACATCTGGGATGAAGAATCACCCAATCTTGCAATCTAGCAACAATGATCTGTCTATACAACCGCATCAAAGGTACAGCTGCTCGTAACCGCCTCACCTGGCTGCAGCAACTCTTACGCAGCATATGTTCGATTCGAAAACACACGTCGGAATTCATCCAGACGGTAGTGCGCGATCCGGGCTTGTAAATCAAATAGATAGATGCGCCTCATCAGTCATGTACAGAGCCGAGTGGTTTCTGTTCGTCTTTACAATACTGTCAAGTAAGACAGCAAGAAGAATCAAGACTTAACGCGGCGCAAATCAATCGATAGAACAGTTTTGATTGCAAATTGTCTACGCATCGTCAGATAAGTACAGCAAAACAGGGACTACCAACCGAAAATGTGCTGAAAAAGTGTTACTCAAGGTCAGCTGGTGACGCAGTTGAACTGCGAAGTGCACATTTGGGAATGTGCTGGTGCTGACTGGTTTTGTCATCGTAACATGATCACGCCGGAGATGCATGGCATCGATCCACGTGCCTCCTCCCGTTCGAGAAGCGAGCGCTCGACAACCAGAGCCTCATGCTCACGTGTTACCACTGTCAACACACTATTAACATACCGATCCGGCATGCATAGACCGAATCACAACAACGGCCACAACAATACGTCATTCTTGACATTGCTATCACGACATTCCAATCAGTGATGGCACAACCACAAACGCACAACGCTTTTTACATACGCTACAAGAGCACAAAACAACTCGTCAGAATATTCGGATCCATTTCATATGTACCACTCAGTGCACTGGCATGCAAAACCATCAACTCGATATTGGACACTGCTGAATACGAGCTTGCCGCTTACATCTGGGATGAAGAATCACCCAATCTTGCAACCTAGCGACAATGATCTGTCTGTACAATCGCACCAAAGGTACAGCTACTCGTAACCGCCTCACCTGGCTGCAGCAACTCTTACGCAGCATATGTTCGATTCGAAAACACACGTCGGAATGCATCCAGACGGTAGTGCGCGCTCCGGGCTTGTAAATCAAATAGATAGATGCGCCTCATCAGTCATGTACAGAGCCGAGTGGTTTCTGTTCGTCTTTACAATACTGTCAAGTAAGACAGCAAGAAGAATCAAGACTTGACGCGGCGCAAATCAATCGATAGAACAGCTTTGATTGCAAATTGTCTACACATCGTCAGATAAGTACAACAAAACAGGGACTACCAACCGAAAATGTGCTGAAAAAAGTGTTACTCAAGGTCAGCTGGTGACGCAGTTGAACTGCGAAGTGCACATTTGGGAATGTGCTGGTGCTGACTGGTTTTGTCATCGTAACATGATCACGCCGGAGATGCATGGCATCGATCCACGTGCCTCCCGTTCGAGAAGCGAGCGCTCGACAACCAGAGCCTCATGCTCACGTGTTACCACTGTCAACACACTATTAACATACCGATCCGGCATGCATAGACCGAATCACAACAACGGCCACAACAATACGTCGTTCTTGACATTGCTATCACGACATTCCAATCAGTGATGGCACAACCACAAACGCACAAACGCTTTTTACACAAGCTACAAGAGCACAAAACAACTCGTCAGAATGTTCGGATCCATTTCATATGCACCTCGCAGTGCACTGGCATGCAAAACCATCAACTCGATATTGGACACTGCTGAATACGAGCTTGCCGCTTACATCTGGGATGAAGAATCACCCGATCTTGCAACCTAGCGACAATTATCTGTCTGTACAATCGCATCAAAGGTACAGCTGCTCGTAACCGCCTCACATGGCTGCAGCAACTCTTACGCAGCATATGTTCGATTCGAAAACACACGTCGGAATGCATCCAGACGGTAGTGCGCGCTCCGGGCTTGTAAAGCAAATAGATAGATGCGCCTCATCAGTTATGTACAGAGCCGAGTGGTTTCTGTTCGTCTTTACAATACTGTCAAGTAAGACAGCCAGAAGAATCAAGACTTGACGCGGCGCAAATCAATCGATAGCACAGCTTTGATTGCAAATTGTCTACACATCGTCAGATAAGTACAACAAAACAGGGACTACCAACCGAAAATGTGCTGAAAAAAGTGTTACTCAAGGTCAGCTGGTGACGCAGTTGAACTGCGAAGTGCACATTTGGGAATGTGCTGGTGCTGACTGGTTTTGTCATCGTAACATGATCACGCCGGAGAGACATGGCATCGATCCACGTGCCTCCCGTTCGAGAAGCGAGCGCTCGACAACCAGAGCCTCATGCTCACGTGTTACCACTGTCAACACACTATTAACATACCGATCCGGCATGCATAGACCGAATCACAACAACGGCCACAACAATACGTCATTCTTGTAATTGCTATCACGACATTCCAATCAGTGATGGCACAACCACAAACGCACAAACGCTTTTTACACAAGCTACAAGAGCACAAAACAACTCGTCAGAATGTTCGGATCCATTTCATATGCACCTCGCAGTGCACTGGCATGCAAAACCATCAACTCGATATTGGACACTGCTGAATACGAGCTTGCCGCTTACATCTGGGATGAAGAATCACCCAATCTTGCAATCTAGCGACAATGATCTGTCTATACAACCGCATCAAAGGTACAGCTGCTCGTAACCGCCTCACCTGGCTGCAGCAACTCTTACGCAGCATATGTTCGATTCGAAAACACACGTCGGAATGCATCCAGACGGTAGTGCGCGCTCCGGGCTTGTAAATCAAATAGATAGATGCGCCTCATCAGTCATGTACAGAGCCGAGTGGTTTCTGTTCGTCTTTACAATACTGTCAAGTAAGACAGCAAGAAGAATCAAGACTTGACGCGGCGCAAATCAATCGATAGAACAGCTTTTGATTGCAAATTGTCTACACACCGTCAGATAAGTACATCAAAACAGGGACTACCAACCGAAAATGTGCTGAAAAAAGTGATACTCAAGGTCAGCTGGTGACGCAGTTGAACTGCGAAGTGCACATTTGGGAATGTGCTGGTGCTGACTGGTTTTGTCATCGTAACATGATCACGCCGGAGAGACATGGCATCGATCCACGTGCCTCTCGTTCGAGAAGCGAGCACTTGACAACCAGAGCCTCATGCTCACGTGTTACCACTGTCAACACACTATTAACATACCGATCCGGCATGCATAGACCGAATCACAACAACGGCCACAACAATACGTCATTCTTGACATTGCTATCACGACATTCCAATCAGTGATGGCACAACCACAAACGTACAACGCTTTTTACACAAGCTACAAGAGCACAAAACAACTCGTCAGAATGTTCGGATCCATTTCATATGCACCTCGCAGTGCACTGGCATGCAAAACCATCAACTCGATATTGGACACTGCTGAATACGAGCTTGCCGCTTACATCTGGGATGAAGAATCACCCAATCTTGCAATCTAGCAACAATGATCTGTCTATACAACCGCATCAAAGGTACAGCTGCTCGTAACCGCCTCACCTGGCTGCAGCAACTCTTACGCAGCATATGTTCGATTCGAAAACACACGTCGGAATTCATCCAGACGGTAGTGCGCGCTCCGGGCTTGTAAAGCAAATAGATAGATGCGCCTCATCAGTCATGTACAGAGCCGAGTGGTTTCTGTTCGTCTTTACAATACTGTCAAGTAAGACAGCAAGAAGAATCAAGACTTGACGCGGCGCAAATCAATCGATAGAACAGTTTTGATTGCAAATTGTCTACACATCGTCAGATAAGCACGACCAAACAGGGACTACCAACCGAAGATGTGCTGAAAAAAGTGTTACTCAAGGTCAGCTGGTGACGCAGTTGAACTGCGAAGTGCACATTTGGGAATGTGCTGGTGCTGACTGGTTTTGTCATCGTAACATGATCACGCCGGAGATGCATGGCATCGATCCACGTGCCTCCCGTTCGAGAAGCGAGCGCTCGACAACCAGAGCCTCATGCTCACGTGTTACCACTGTCAACACACTAGTAACATACCGATCCGGCATGCATAGACCGAATCACAACAACGGCCACAACAATACGTCGTTCTTGACTTTGCTATCACGACATTCCAATCAGTGATGGCACAACCACAAACGCACAAACGCTTTTTACACACGCTACAAGAGCACAAAACAACTCGTCAGAATATTCGGATCCATTTCATATGCACCACTCAGTGCACTGGCATGCAAAATCATCAACTCGATATTGGACACTGCTGAATACGAGCTTGCCGCTTACATCTGGGATGAAGAATCACCCAATCTTGCAATCTAGCAACAATGATCTGTCTGTACAATCGCATCAAAGGTACAGCTGCTCGTAACCGCCTCACCTGGCTGCAGCAACTCTTACGCAGCATATGTTCGATTCGAAAACACACGTCGGAATGCATCCAGACGGTAGTGCGCGCTCCGGGCTTGTAAATCAAATAGATAGATGCGCCTCATCAGTCATGTACAGAGCCGAGTGGTTTCTGTTCGTCTTTACAATACTGTCAAGTAAGACAGCAAGAAGAATCAAGACTTGACGCGGCGCAAATCAATCGATAGAACAGCTTTGATTGCAAATTGTCTACACATCGTCAGATAAGTACAACAAAACAGGGACTACCAACCGAAAATGTGCTGAAAAAGTGTTACTCAAGGTCAGCTGGTGACGCAGTTGAACTGCGAAGTGCACATTTGGGAATGTGCTGGTGCTGACTGGTTTTGTCATCGTAACATGATCACGCCGGAGATGCATGGCATCGATCCACGTGCCTCTCGTTCGAGAAGCGAGCGCTCGACAACCAGAGCCTCATGCTCACGTGTTACCACTGTCAACACACTATTAACATACCGATCCGGCATGCATAGACCGAATCACAACAACGGCCACAACAATACGTCATTCTTGACATTGCTATCACGACATTCCAATCAGTGATGGCACAACCACAAACGTACACAACGCTTTTTACACAAGCTACAAGAGCACAAAACAACTCGTCAGAATGTTCGGATCCATTTCATATGCACCTCGCAGTGCACTGGCATGCAAAACCATCAACTCGATATTGGACACTGCTGAATACGAGCTTGCCGCTTACATCTGGGATGAAGAATCACCCAATCTTGCAATCTAGCAACAATGATCTGTCTATACAACCGCATCAAAGGTACAGCTGCTCGTAACCGCCTCACCTGGCTGCAGCAACTCTTACGCAGCATATGTTCGATTCGAAAACACACGTCGGAATTCATCCAGACGGTAGTGCGCGATCCGGGCTTGTAAAGCAAATAGATAGATGCGCCTCATCAGTTATGTACAGAGCCGAGTGGTTTCTGTTCGTCTTTACAATACTGTCAAGTACGACAGCCAGAAGAATCAAGACTTGACGCGGCGCAAATCAATCGATAGCACAGCTTTGATTGCAAATTGTCTACGCATCGTCAGATAAGTACAGCAAAACAGGGACTACCAACCGAAAATGTGCTGAAAAAAGTGTTACTCAAGGTCAGCTGGTGACGCAGTTGAACTGCGAAGTGCACATTTGGGAATGTGCTGGTGCTGACTGGTTTTGTCATCGTAACATGATCACGCCGGAGATGCATGGCATCGATCCACGTGCCTCCCGTTCGAGAAGCGAGCGCTCGACAACCAGAGCCTCATGCTCACGTGTTACCACTGTCAACACACTATTAACATACCGATCCTGCATGCATAGACCGAATCACAACAACGGCCACAACAATACGTCGTTCTTGACTTTGCTATCACGACATTCCAATCAGTGATGGCACAACCACAAACGCACAACGCTTTTTACACACGCTACAAGAGCACAAAACAACTCGTCAGAATATTCGGATCCATTTCATATGCACCACTCAGTGCACTGGCATGCAAAATCATCAACTCGATATTGGACACTGCTGAATACGAGCTTGCCGCTTACATCTGGGATGAAGAATCACCCAATCTTGCAATCTAGCAACAATGATCTGTCCTTACAATCGCATCAAAGGTACAGCTGCTCGTAACCGCCTCACCTGGCTGCAGCAACTCTTACGCAGCATATGTTCGATTCGAAAACACACGTCGGAATGCATCCAGACGGTAGTGCGCGCTCCGGGCTTGTAAATCAAATAGATAGATGCGCCTCATCAGTCATGTACAGAGCCGAGTGGTTTCTGTTCGTCTTTACAATACTGTCAAGTAAGACAGCAAGAAGAATCAAGACTTGACGCGGCGCAAATCAATCGATAGAACAGTTTTGATTGCAAATTGTCTACGCATCGTCAGATAAGTACAGCAAAACAGGGACTACCAACCGAAAATGTGCTGAAAAAGTGTTACTCAAGGTCAGCTGGTGACGCAGTTGAACTGCGAAGTGCACATTTGGGAATGTGCTGGTGCTGACTGGTTTTGTCATCGTAACATGATCATCCGGAGATGCATGGCATCGATCCACGTGCCTCTCGTTCGAGAAGCGAGCGCTCGACAACCAGAGCCTCATGCTCACGTGTTACCACTGTCAACACACTATTAACATACCGATCCGGCATGCATAGACCGAATCACAACAACGGCCACAACAATACGTCATTCTTGACATTGCTATCACGACATTCCAATCAGTGATGGCACAACCACAAACGTACAAACGCTTTTTACACAAGCTACAAGAGCACAAAACAACTCGTCAGAATGTTCGGATCCATTTCATATGCACCTCGCAGTGCACTGGCATGCAAAACCATCAACTCGATATTGGACACTGCTGAATACGAGCTTGCCGCTTACATCTGGGATGAAGAATCACCCAATCTTGCAATCTAGCAACAATGATCTGTCTATACAACCGCATCAAAGGTACAGCTGCTCGTAACCGCCTCACCTGGCTGCAGCAACTCTTACGCAGCATATGTTCGATTCGAAAACACACGTCGGAATTCATCCAGACGGTAGTGCGCGATCCGGGCTTGTAAATCAAATAGATAGATGCGCCTCATCAGTCATGTACAGAGCCGAGTGGTTTCTGTTCGTCTTTACAATACTGTCAAGTAAGACAGCAAGAAGAATCAAGACTTAACGCGGCGCAAATCAATCGATAGAACAGTTTTGATTGCAAATTGTCTACACATCGTCAGATAAGCACGACCAAACAGGGACTACCAACCGAAAATGTGCTGATAAAGTGTTACTCAAGGTCAGCTGGTGACGCAGTTGAACTGCGAAGTGCAAATTTGGAAATGTGCTGGTGCTGACTGGTTTTGTCATCGTAACATGATCACGCCGGAGATGCATGGCATCGATCCACGTGCCTCTCGTTCGAGAAGCGAGCGCTCGACAACCAGAGCCTCATGCTCACGTGTTACCACTGTCAACACACTATTAACATACCGATCATACATGCATAGACCGAATCACAACAACGGCCACAACAATACGTCATTCTTGACATTGCTATCACGACATTCCAATCAGTGATGGCACAACCACAAACGCACAAACGCTTTTTACACAAGCTACAAGAGCACAAAACAACTCGTCAGAATATTCGGATCCATTTCATATGCACCACTCAGTGCACTGGCATGCAAAATCATCAACTCGATATTGGACACTGCTGAATACGAGCTTGCCGCTTACATCTGGGATGAAGAATCACCCAATCTTGCAATCTAGCAACAATGATCTGTCTATACAATCGCATCAAAGGTACAGCTGCTCGTAACCGCCTCACCTGGCTGCAGCAACTCTTACGCAGCATATGTTCGATTCGAAAACACACGTCGGAATGCATCCAGACGGTAGTGCGCGCTCCGGGCTTGTAAATCAAATAGATAGATGCGCCTCATCAGTCATGTACAGAGCCGAGTGGTTTCTGTTCGTCTTTACAATACTGTCAAGTAAGACAGCAAGAAGAATCAAGACTTGACGCGGCGCAAATCAATCGATAGCGCAGCTTTGATTGCAAATTGTCTACACATCGTCAGATAAGTACAACAAAACAGGGACTACCAACCGAAAATGTGCTGAAAAAGTGTTACTCAAGGTCAGCTGGTGACGCAGTTGAACTGCGAAGTGCACATTTGGGAATGTGCTGGTGCTGACTGGTTTTGTCATCGTAACATGATCACGCCGGAGATGCATGGCATCGATCCACGTGCCTCCCGTTCGAGAAGCGAGCGCTCGACAACCAGAGCCTCATGCTCACGTGTTACCACTGTCAACACACTATTAACATACCGATCCGGCATGCATAGACCGAATCACAACAACGGCCACAACAATACGTCGTTCTTGACTTTGCTATCACGACATTCCAATCAGTGATGGCACAACCACAAACGCACAACGCTTTTTACATACGCTACAAGAGCACAAAACAACTCGTCAGAATATTCGGATCCATTTCATATGTACCACTCAGTGCACTGGCATGCAAAATCATCAACTCAATATTGGACACTGCTGAATACGAGCTTGCCACTAACATCTGGGATGAAGAATCATCCGATCTTGCAACCTAGCGACAATTATCTGTCTGTACAATCGCACCAAAGGTTGAGCTGCTCGTAACCGCCTCACCTGGCTGCAGCAACTCTTACGCAGCATATGTTCGATTCGAAAACACACGTCGGAATGCATCCAGACGGTAGTGCGCGCTCCGGGCTTGTAAAGTAAATAGATAGATGCGCCTCATCAGTCATGTACAGAGCCGAGTGGTTTCTGTTCGTCTTTACAATACTGTCAAGTAAGACAGCAAGAAGAATCAAGACTTGACGCGGCGCAAATCAATCGATAGCGCAGCTTTGATTGCAAATTGTCTACACATCGTCAGATAAGTACAACAAAACAGGGACTACCAACCGAAGATGTGCTGAAAAAGTGTTACTCAAGGTCAGCTGGTGACGCAGTTGAACTGCGAAGTGCACATTTGGGAATGTGCTGGTGCTGACTGGTTTTGTCATCGTAACATGATCACGCCGGAGATGCATGGCATCGATCCACGTGCCTCCCGTTCGAGAAGCGAGCGCTCGACAACCAGAGCCTCATGCTCACGTGTTACCACTGTCAACACACTATTAACATACCGATCCGGCATGCATAGACCGAATCACAACAACGGCCACAACAATACGTCGTTCTTGACTTTGCTATCACGACATTCCAATCAGTGATGGCACAACCACAAACGCACAACGCTTTTTACATACGCTACAAGAGCACAAAACAACTCGTCAGAATATTCGGATCCATTTCATATGTACCACTCAGTGCACTGGCATGCAAAATCATCAACTCAATATTGGACACTGCTGAATACGAGCTTGCCACTAACATCTGGGATGAAGAATCATCCGATCTTGCAACCTAGCGACAATTATCTGTCTGTACAATCGCACCAAAGGTTGAGCTGCTCGTAACCGCCTCACCTGGCTGCAGCAACTCTTACGCAGCATATGTTCGATTCGAAAACACACGTCGGAATTCATCCAGACGGTAGTGCGCGCTCCGGGCTTGTAAAGTAAATAGATAGATGCGCCTCATCAGTCATGTACAGAGCCGAGTGGTTTCTGTTCGTCTTTACAATACTGTCAAGTAAGACAGCAAGAAGAATCAAGACTTGACGCGGCGCAAATCAATCGATAGCGCAGCTTTGATTGCAAATTGTCTACACATCGTCAGATAAGTACAACAAAACAGGGACTACCAACCGAAATGTGCTGAAAAAAGTGTTACTCAAGGTCAGCTGGTGACGCAGTTGAACTGCGAAGTGCACATTTGGGAATGTGCTGGTGCTGACTGGTTTTGTCATCGTAACATGATCACGCCGGAGATGCATGGCATCGATCCACGTGCCTCCCGTTCGAGAAGCGAGCGCTCGACAACCAGAGCCTCATGCTCACGTGTTACCACTGTCAACACACTATTAACATACCGATCCGGCATGCATAGACCGAATCACAACAACGGCCACAACAATACGTCGTTCTTGACTTTGCTATCACGACATTCCAATCAGTGATGGCACAACCACAAACGCACAACGCTTTTTACATACGCTACAAGAGCACAAAACAACTCGTCAGAATATTCGGATCCATTTCATATGTACCACTCAGTGCACTGGCATGCAAAATCATCAACTCAATATTGGACACTGCTGAATACGAGCTTGCCACTAACATCTGGGATGAAGAATCATCCGATCTTGCAACCTAGCGACAATTATCTGTCTGTACAATCGCAACAAAGGTTGAGCTGCTCGTAACCGCCTCACCTGGCTGCAGCAACTCTTACGCAGCATATGTTCGATTCGAAAACACACGTCGGAATTCATCCAGACGGTAGTGCGCGCTCCGGGCTTGTAAAGTAAATAGATAGATGCGCCTCATCAGTCATGTACAGAGCCGAGTGGTTTCTGTTCGTCTTTACAATACTGTCAAGTAAGACAGCAAGAAGAATCAAGACTTGACGCGGCGCAAATCAATCGATAGCGCAGCTTTGATTGCAAATTGTCTACACATCGTCAGATAAGTACAACAAAACAGGGACTACCAACCGAAACTGTGCTGAAAAAAGTGTTACTCAAGGTCAGCTGGTGACGCAGTTGAACTGCGAAGTGCACATTTGGGAATGTGCTGGTGCTGACTGGTTTTGTCATCGTAACATGATCACGCCGGAGATGCATGGCATCGATCCACGTGCCTCCCGTTCGAGAAGCGAGCGCTCGACAACCAGAGCCTCATGCTCACGTGTTACCACTGTCAACACACTATTAACATACCGATCCGGCATGCATAGACCGAATCACAACAACGGCCACAACAATACGTCGTTCTTGACTTTGCTATCACGACATTCCAATCAGTGATGGCACAACCACAAACGCACAACGCTTTTTACATACGCTACAAGAGCACAAAACAACTCGTCAGAATATTCGGATCCATTTCATATGTACCACTCAGTGCACTGGCATGCAAAATCATCAACTCAATATTGGACACTGCTGAATACGAGCTTGCCACTAACATCTGGGATGAAGAATCATCCGATCTTGCAACCTAGCGACAATTATCTGTCTGTACAATCGCACCAAAGGTTGAGCTGCTCGTAACCGCCTCACCTGGCTGCAGCAACTCTTACGCAGCATATGTTCGATTCGAAAACACACGTCGGAATGCATCCAGACGGTAGTGCGCGCTCCGGGCTTGTAAATCAAATAGATAGATGCGCCTCATCAGTCATGTACAGAGCCGAGTGGTTTCTGTTCGTCTTTACAATACTGTCAAGTAAGACAGCAAGAAGAATCAAGACTTGACGCGGCGCAAATCAATCGATAGCACAGCTTTGATTGCAAATTGTCTACACATCGTCAGATAAGTACAACAAAACAGGGACTACCAACCGAAGATGTGCTGAAAAAAGTGTTACTCAAGGTCAGCTGGTGACGCAGTTGAACTGCGAAGTGCACATTTGGGAATGTGCTGGTGCTGACTGGTTTTGTCATCGTAACATGATCACGCCGGAGATGCATGGCATCGATCCACGTGCCTCCCGTTCGAGAAGCGAGCGCTCGACAACCAGAGCCTCATGCTCACGTGTTATCACTGTCAACACACTATTAACATACCGATCCGGCATGCATAGACCGAATCACAACAACGGCCACAACAATACGTCGTTCTTGACTTTGCTATCACGACATTCCAATCAGTGATGGCACAACCACAAACGCACAACGCTTTTTACATACGCTACAAGAGCACAAAACAACTCGTCAGAAGATTCGGATCCATTTCATATGCACCACTCAGTGCACTGGCATGCAAAATCATCAACTCAATATTGGACACTGCTGAATACGAGCTTGCCACTAACATCTGGGATGAAGAATCATCCGATCTTGCAACCTAGCGACAATTATCTGTCTGTACAATCGCACCAAAGGTTGAGCTGCTCGTAACCGCCTCACCTGGCTGCAGCAACTGTTACGCAGCATATGTTCGATTCGAAAACACACGTCGGAATGCATCCAGATGGTAGTGCGCGCTCCGGGCTTGTAAAGTAAATAGATAGATGCGCCTCATCAGTCATGTACAGAGCCGAGTGGTTTCTGTTCGTCTTTACAATACTGTCAAGTAAGACAGCCAGAAGAATCAAGACTTGACGCGGCGCAAATCAATCGATGGCGCAGCTTTGATTGCAAATTGTCTACACATCGTCAGATAAGTACAACAAAACAGGGACTACCAACCGAAGATGTGCTGAAAAAAGTGTTACTCAAGGTCAGCTGGTGACGCAGTTGAACTGCGAAGTGCACATTTGGGAATGTGCTGGTGCTGACTGGTTTTGTCATCGTAACATGATCACGCCGGAGATGCATGGCATCGATCCACGTGCCTCCCGTTCGAGAAGCGAGCGCTCGACAACCAGAGCCTCATGCTCACGTGTTATCACTGTCAACACACTATTAACATACCGATCCGGCATGCATAGACCGAATCACAACAACGGCCACAACAATACGTCGTTCTTGACTTTGCTATCACGACATTCCAATCAGTGATGGCACAACCACAAACGCACAACGCTTTTTACATACGCTACAAGAGCACAAAACAACTCGTCAGAAGATTCGGATCCATTTCATATGCACCACTCAGTGCACTGGCATGCAAAATCATCAACTCAATATTGGACACTGCTGAATACGAGCTTGCCACTAACATCTGGGATGAAGAATCATCCGATCTTGCAACCTAGCGACAATTATCTGTCTGTACAATCGCACCAAAGGTTGAGCTGCTCGTAACCGCCTCACCTGGCTGCAGCAACTCTTACGCAGCATATGTTCGATTCGAAAACACACGTCGGAATGCATCCAGACGGTAGTGCGCGCTCCGGGCTTGTAAAGTAAATAGATAGATGCGCCTCATCAGTCATGTACAGAGCCGAGTGGTTTCTGTTCGTCTTTACAATACTGTCAAGTAAGACAGCAAGAAGAATCAAGACTTGACGCGGCGCAAATCAATCGATAGCGCAGCTTTGATTGCAAATTGTCTACACATCGTCAGATAAGTACAACAAAACAGGGACTACCAACCGAAAATGTGCTGAAAAAAGTGTTACTCAAGGTCAGCTGGTGACGCAGTTGAACTGCGAAGTGCACATTTGGGAATGTGCTGGTGCTGACTGGTTTTGTCATCGTAACATGATCACGCCGGAGAGACATGGCATCGATCCACGTGCCTCCCGTTCGAGAAGCGAGCGCTCGACAACCAGAGCCTCATGCTCACGTGTTATCACTGTCAACACACTATTAACATACCGATCCGGCATGCATAGACCGAATCACAACAACGGCCACAACAATACGTCGTTCTTGACTTTGCTATCACGACATTCCAATCAGTGATGGCACAACCACAAACGCACAACGCTTTTTACATACGCTACAAGAGCACAAAACAACTCGTCAGAATATTCGGATCCATTTCATATGTACCACTCAGTGCACTGGCATGCAAAATCATCAACTCAATATTGGACACTGCTGAATACGAGCTTGCCACTAACATCTGGGATGAAGAATCATCCGATCTTGCAACCTAGCGACAATTATCTGTCTGTACAATCGCACCAAAGGTTGAGCTGCTCGTAACCGCCTCACCTGGCTGCAGCAACTCTTACGCAGCATATGTTCGATTCGAAAACACACGTCGGAATTCATCCAGACGGTAGTGCGCGATCCGGGCTTGTAAATCAAATAGATAGATGCGCCTCATCAGTCATGTACAGAGCCGAGTGGTTTCTGTTCGTCTTTACAATACTGTCAAGTAAGACAGCCAGAAGAATCAAGACTTGACGCGGCGCAAATCAATCGATAGCGCAGCTTTGATTGCAAATTGTCTACACATCGTCAGATAAGTACAACAAAACAGGGACTACCAACCGAAGATGTGCTGAAAAAAGTGTTACTCAAGGTCAGCTGGTGACGCAGTTGAACTGCGAAGTGCACATTTGGGAATGTGCTGGTGCTGACTGGTTTTGTCATCGTAACATGATCACGCCGGAGATGCATGGCATCGATCCACGTGCCTCCCGTTCGAGAAGCGAGCGCTCGACAACCAGAGCCTCATGCTCACGTGTTATCACTTTCAACACACTATTAACATACCGATCCGGCATGCATAGACCGAATCACAACAACGGCCACAACAATACGTCGTTCTTGACTTTGCTATCACGACATTCCAATCAGTGATGGCACAACCACAAACGCACAACGCTTTTTACATACGCTACAAGAGCACAAAACAACTCGTCAGAAGATTCGGATCCATTTCATATGCACCACTCAGTGCACTGGCATGCAAAATCATCAACTCAATATTGGACACTGCTGAATACGAGCTTGCCACTAACATCTGGGATGAAGAATCATCCGATCTTGCAACCTAGCGACAATTATCTGTCTGTACAATCGCACCAAAGGTTGAGCTGCTCGTAACCGCCTCACCTGGCTGCAGCAACTGTTACGCAGCATATGTTCGATTCGAAAACACACGTCGGAATGCATCCAGATGGTAGTGCGCGCTCCGGGCTTGTAAAGTAAATAGATAGATGCGCCTCATCAGTCATGTACAGAGCCGAGTGGTTTCTGTTCGTCTTTACAATACTGTCAAGTAAGACAGCAAGAAGAATCAAGACTTGACGCGGCGCAAATCAATCGATAGCGCAGCTTTGATTGCAAATTGTCTACACATCGTCAGATAAGTACAACAAAACAGGGACTACCAACCGAAGATGTGCTGAAAAAAGTGTTACTCAAGGTCAGCTGGTGACGCAGTTGAACTGCGAAGTGCACATTTGGGAATGTGCTGGTGCTGACTGGTTTTGTCATCGTAACATGATCACGCCGGAGATGCATGGCATCGATCCACGTGCCTCCCGTTCGAGAAGCGAGCGCTCGACAACCAGAGCCTCATGCTCACGTGTTACCACTGTCAACACACTATTAACATACCGATCCGGCATGCATAGACCGAATCACAACAACGGCCACAACAATACGTCGTTCTTGACTTTGCTATCACGACATTCCAATCAGTGATGGCACAACCACAAACGCACAACGCTTTTTACATACGCTACAAGAGCACAAAACAACTCGTCAGAATATTCGGATCCATTTCATATGTACCACTCAGTGCACTGGCATGCAAAATCATCGACTCAATATTGGACACTGCTGAATACGAGCTTGCCGCTTACATCTGGGATGAAGAATCATCCGATCTTGCAACCTAGCGACAATTATCTGTCTGTACAATCGCACCAAAGGTTGAGCTGCTCGTAACCGCCTCACCTGGCTGCAGCAACTCTTACGCAGCATATGTTCGATTCGAAAACACACGTCGGAATTCATCCAGACGGTAGTGCGCGCTCCGGGCTTGTAAAGTAAATAGATAGATGCGCCTCATCAGTCATGTACAGAGCCGAGTGGTTTCTGTTCGTCTTTACAATACTGTCAAGTAAGACAGCAAGAAGAATCAAGACTTGACGCGGCGCAAATCAATCGATAGCGCAGCTTTAATTGCAAATTGTCTACACGTCGTCAGATAAGTACAACAAAACAGGGACTACCAACCGAAGATGTGCTGAAAAAAGTGTTACTCAAGGTCAGCTGGTGACGCAGTTGAACTGCGAAGTGCACATTTGGGGATGTGCTGGTGCTGACTGGTTTTGTCATCGTAATATGATCACGCCGGAGAGGCATGGCATCGATCCACGTGCCTCTCGTTCGAGAAGCGAGCGATCGACAACCAGAGCCTCATGCTCACGTGTTATCACTGTCAACACACTATTAACATACCGATCATGCATGCATAGACCGAATCACAACAACGGCCACAACAATACGTCGTTCTTGACTTTGCTATCACGACATTCCAATCAGTGATGGCACAACCACAAACGTACAAACGCTTTTCACACACGCTACAAGAGCACAAAACAACTCGTCAGAATATTCGGATCCATTTCATATGCACCACTCAGTGCACTGGCATGCAAATCATCAACTCGATTTTGGACACTGCTGAATGCGAGCTTGCCGCTTGCATCTGGGATGAAGAATCATCCGATCTTGCAACCTAGCGACAATTATCTGTCTGTACAATCGCATTAAAGGTTGAGCTGCTCGTAACCGCCTCACCTGGCTGCAGCAACTGTTACGCAGCATATGTTCGATTCGAAAACACACGTCGGAATGCATCCAGATGGTAGTGCGCGCTCCGGGCTTGTAAAGCAAATAGATAGATGCGCCTCATCAGTCATGTACAGAGCCGAGTGGTTTCTGTTCGTCTTTACAATACTGTCAAGTACGACAGCAAGAAGAATCAAGACTTGACGCGGCGCAAATCAATCGATAGCACAGCTTTGATTGCAAATTGTCTACACATCGTCAGATAAGCACGACCAAACAGGGACTACCAACCGAAGATGTGCTGAAAAAAGTGTTACTCAAGGTCAGCTGGTGACGCAGTTGAACTGCGAAGTGCACATTTGGGAATGTGCTGGTGCTGACTGGTTTTGTCATCGTAACATGATCACGCCGGAGATCATGGCATCGATCCACGTGCCTCTCGTTCGAGAAGTGAGCGCTCGACAACCAGAGCCTCATGCTCACGTGTTACCACTTTCAACACACTATTAACATACCGATCCTGCATGCATTGACCGAATCACAACAACGGCCACGACAATGTATGGATAATAAGCGCTTGTGCGTTTGTGGGTGTGCCATCACTGATTAAAGTGTCGTGATGGGATTGTCAAGTATGACGTATTGTTGTGGCCGTTGTTGTGATTCAGTCGATGCATGCAGGAACGGTGTGTTGGTAATGTGGTTAGAGAGACATCACGTGGGCATGAATCTATGGTTGTCGAGCGCTCGCTCCTCTCACGAGAAGCACATGGATCGATAACTGGTGTGATCATGTTACGATGACAAAACCAGTCAGCATCAGCACATTCCCAAATGTGCACTTTGTACTTCAACTGCGTCACCAGCTGACCTTGAGTCACACTTTTCCACCACATCTTTGGTTGGCAGTCCCTGTTTTGTTGTCCTGCACTGACGATGTGTCGATAACCTGCAGTCAAAGATGCCCAACCGAATGATTCGCACCGCGTCAAGTCTTGGTTCTTCTTGCTGTCATACTTGACAGTATGATCAAAACGAACAGAAACCACTCGGCGATGTACATGACTGATGAGGCGCATCTATCTATTTGCTTTACAAGCCCGGATCGCGCACCACCGTCTGGATGCATTCCGACATGTGGTTTCAAATCGAACATGTGCCGCGTAGCACTTGATGCAGCCAGGTGAGGCGGTTACGAGCAGCTCAGCCTTTGATGCGATTATACAGACAGATCATTGTCGCTAGGTTGCACAATCGGATGATTCTTCATCCCAGATGTTAGTGGCAAGCTCGTATTCAGCAGTGTCCAATATCGAGTTGATGCTTTGCATGCCAGTGCACTGAGTGGTGCATATGAAATGGAGCCAAATGTTCTGACGTGTTGTTTCGTGCTCTTGTAGTGTGTGAATAATAAGCGCTTGTGCGTTTGTGGGTGTGCCATCACTGATTAAAGTGTCGTGATGGGATTGTCAAGTATGACGTATTGTTGTGGCCGTTGTTGTGATTCAGTCGATGCATGCAGGAACGGTGTGTTGGTAATGTGGTTAGAGAGACATCACGTGGGCATGAATCTATGGTTGTCGAGCGCTCGCTCCTCTCACGAGAAGCACATGGATCGATAACTGGTGTGATCATGTTACGATGACAAAACCAGTCAGCATCAGCACATTCCCAAATGTGCACTTTGTACTTCAACTGCGTCACCAGCTGACCTTGAGTCACACTTTTCCACCACATCTTTGGTTGGCAGTCCCTGTTTTGTTGTCCTGCTCTGACGATGTGTCGATAACCTGCAGTCAAAGATGCCCAACCGAATGATTCGCACCGCGTGAAGTCTTGGTTCTTCTTGCTGTCATACTTGACAGTATGATCAAAACGAGAAGAAACCACTCGGCGATGTACATGACTGATGAGGCGCATCTATCTATTTGCTTTACAAGCCCGGATCGCGCACCACCGTCTGGATGCATTCCGACATGTGGTTTCAAATCGAACATGTGCCGCGTAGCACTTGATGCAGCCAGGTGAGGCGGTTACGAGCAGCTCAGCCTTTGATGCGATTGTACAGACAGATCATTGTCGCTAGGTTGCACAATCGGATGATTCTTCATCCCAGATGTTAGTGGCAAGCTCGTATTCAGCAGTGTCCAATATCGAGTTGATGCTTTGCATGCCAGTGCACTGAGTGGTGCATATGAAATGGAGCCAAGTGTTCTGACGAGTTGTTTCGTGCTCTTGTAGTGTGTGAATAATAAGCGCTTGTGCGTTTGTGGGTGTGCCATCACTGATTAAAGTGTCGTGATGGGATTGTCAAGTATGACGTATTGTTGTGGCCGTTGTTGTGATTCAGTCGATGCATGCAGGAACGGTGTGTTGGTAATGTGGTTAGATAGACATCACGTGGGCATGAATCTATGGTTGTCGAGCGCTCGCTCCTCTCACGAGAAGCACATGGATCGATAACTGGTGTGATCATGTTACGATGACAAAACCAGTCAGCATCAGCACATTCCCAAATGTGCACTTTGTACTTCAACTGCGTCACCAGCTGACCTTGAGTCACACTTTTCCACCACATCTTTGGTTGGCAGTCCCTGTTTTGTTGTCCTGCACTGACGATGTGTCGATAACCTGCAGTCAAAGATGCCCAACCGAATGATTCGCACCGCGTGAAGTCTTGGTTCTTCTTGCTGTCATACTTGACAGTATGATCAAAACGAGAAGAAACCACTCGGCGATGTACATGACTGATGAGGCGCATCTATCTATTTGCTTTACAAGCCCGGAGCGCGCACCACCGTCTGGATGCATTCCGACATGTGGTTTCAAATCGAACATGTGCCGCGTAGCACTTGATGCAGCCAGGTGAGGCGGTTACGAGCAGCTCAGCCTTTGATGCGATTGTACAGACAGATCATTGTCGCTAGGTTGCACGATCGGATGATTCTTCATCCCAGATGTTAGTGGCAAGCTCGTATTCAGCAGTGTCCAATATCGAGTTGATGCTTTGCATGCCAGTGCACTGAGTGGTGCATATGAAATGGAGCCAAATGTTCTGACGTGTTGTTTCGTGCTCTTGTAGTGTGTGAATAATAAGCGCTTGTGCGTTTGTGGGTGTGCCATCACTGATTAAAGTGTCGTGATGGGATTGTCAAGTATGACGTATTGTTGTGGCCGTTGTTGTGATTCAGTCGATGCATGCAGGAACGGTGTGTTGGTAATGTGGTTAGAGAGACATCACGTGGGCATGAATCTATGGTTGTCGAGCGCTCGCTCCTCTCACGAGAAGCACATGGATCGATAACTGGTGTGATCATGTTACGATAACAAAACCAGTCAGCATCAGCACATTCCCAAATGTGCACTTTGTACTTCAACTGCGTCACCAGCTGACCTTGAGTCACACTTTTCCACCACATCTTTGGTTGGCAGTCCCTGTTTTGTTGTCCTGCTCTGACGATGTGTCGATAACCTGCGGTCAAAGCTGCCCAACCGAATGATTCGCACCGCGTCAAGTCTTGGTTCTTCTTGCTGTCATACTTGACAGTATGATCAAAACGAGAAGAAACCACTCGGCGATGTACAAGACTGATGAGGCGCATCTATCTATTTGCTTTACAAGCCCGGAGCCCGCACCACTGTCTGGATGCATTCCGACATGTGGTTTCAAATCGAACATGTGCCGCGTAACACTTGCTGCATCCAGGTGAGGCTATTACGAGCAGCTCAACCTTTGATGCGATTATACAGACAGATCATTGTCGCTAGGTTGCACAATCGGATGATTCTTCATCCCAGATGTTAGTGGCAAGCTCGTATTCAGCAGTGTCCAATATCGAGTTGATGATTTGCATGCCAGTGCACTGAGTGGTGCATATGAAATGGATCCGAACATTCTGACGAGTTGTTTCGTGCTCTTGTAGTGTGTGAATAATAAGCGCTTGTGAGTTTGTGGGTGTGCCATCACTGATTAAAGTGTCGTGATGGGATTGTCAAGTATGACGTATTGTTGTGGCCGTTGTT